ATATTTAAATTCCCTCATTTCAATTTTCAACTCCCACATGTTAAATTAAAAGTTTGGTCTTTCAACTTGTGTAGTTAATTCATTTAATCACTAAATCTTAATAAACTTCAATTAGGTCATTGAATTTAGATTAATTGTAATTATATGACATAGTCTCTATTATTAACATTGTTAATTAATTAAATAATAACACAACATGTTTATTGGACACATTTGATTAAGGTGGACAATTAGACAAAATAGAATAACTCGACTTTGTATTACATTATCATATTTAGCTACTCTCTTTTTTCATTTATCTATCACATCTAAAATAGTCGTTTTAATTACAGGACTACATATAGAATCGCAATTCGAAATTTATGAACATAATTGAAATTTTTTAAAAGTTCGGGGGCTACATAAAAAAAAAAAAATTTGGTGGGATGGAGCTTTCAACTCAACCAAAAACTTGAAAAAGTTAGAATAGTGAGACTTGCTTCCTTCCTACACCTCAATCTCCACTCTCTAAGCTCTACCTTCTATGGTGGCAAGACCAAAATATATCCTAAAATTCAAAGATATTCAAATAATTCACTTAAATAATAATTGAATGCATTTCTTTAAATTCTCCATTATCATCACCATTTTTGTAGGGGAAGATATTCACTTTATACCATCAGTATTTAGATTCTTTTCGTTAACAATTTAACCCACATTTTGAATAAATTGTGTTTTTTTGAATTTATTTCAAAACCAATCAATAAATTACACAAGCTACCCGACCCGATGAAGCATCCAAAACCACAACTGCAAAATTGCTCAAATTAGATACTAGCTCCACCCACGAACATAAGAAAAAATTATTCAATGATTATCGTTTGATGCAAATTTAAAATATGTTTGTTCTCTACTAACTATTTGAAAATCTTCTCTCATGCACTCGTTAACAATATAGAATTAACATCTAAGTTATTCCATACCATCCCACCACATAGTTTACGTCTAATGAAAAAATCTCCAAAATAATAGAAATTCAACTATGTCAAGTTATGAGATTAGAGACAGGAAAGAATAAGAAGACACAAAAAGTGCTACCAATCAAATCATCCTCGATATTGGTGAACAAATAGTAGTGAGTTATTTATATATTATTGAATGGAATTAATTTATAACTAATCATACATATAACAAATCGAAGGAAAACAGTCAAATATGAACATAGCTCAGCGGTAATTGACATCTACTTCTTCCATTAAAGTTGGAGGTTCAAGAATGTAGCAAACCTACCCATACATATAAATGCTATGAAATTTTAATTAGATTTGATATTTTGATGATTTTTTCAAATCAAAGTTTCATTTCTCAGGATAATGTGTTTGAATTAATTTAAATTAAGTTGGCATGTCTAACTTCACACGGAACTTAGAAAAGAACAATTCGTGCAGTTTTAAGTTCAACCACTTATTTATTGTGTACTTTCAATCTAATACCATTAGTATATAAAATGTCGATATATAGAACATTGGCTTGTTCAATCGTCTATCACATTACCATACAGCTAATTAAGTCAAACTAATGTCTTTGACAGTCTTTCTATCAATGAAGATTAGCGAACTTGAGCATAATTCAATGTATAAAAATGGAACTCAAAAGAATAACACGTATAATTTCAATTTGAACCGTCTCTTTATTGTGTACAATTGATCTAAGGTAGAATGGTTTTTAGTTCATTTGATTTTCTATCGCATTATCACATTAATTAAGTCAAAATTCATCTTATAAACATGTCAACATCAACCTTTTTGTCAAGGGAGATAAGCGATTTCAAGTATAGTTAAGTGTACAAGAAGTAGCAAACTTGAACGAATAACGATGCACCTATTTATTGTGTACGATCAATGAATAAAATGTGACATTGAATAAAATGTGACGTGGAATGTTTTGTTAGCTCGTTTGATTGGTCGTCACATCATCACACCAAGTCAAAATTAATTTAATAGACATTCCACATCAACTTTCTGCCAATGGAGATTATCAAATTAATAGTGAATTTCGAGCACAATTTGGTACATAAGAAATCTATTATCCTCCTTAAAGTTAAAGGCCTGATCTCATGCTCCCACATTTTGTTGAACTAAGAAAAACGAAGATTAAGGACTAAATTTATCATTTAACCTTATAAATAAATTCATTATCCACCAACCAAGACTTTACTTAAACATTCATGATTTTAAGATAATTGTATATTTCAAATTGAGGTTGGTGATTGGAGTCCCAAAATAGGTACTTCTTCGCTGATGAACGGTCTTGATTTCCTCTTCTACCTCTGTTTTTTGAGCTTTTTCTATGATGTGGATGTCTAATTGTCTAATGAGAGTATCTTGTACCTCGATCTTTTTTTTCCCCTTTTTTCGTTTTCTTTATTGACATTTGTCTTCGACTCTCGATAATGATGAAAGTATTTTTTATCTAATCGAGGGTGGCTCACATTTTCTCCCCCACTTTTTTCGCTTTTTTCGACCCTTTGGCTAGTATGTTTTCTTTGACTACATTTTGCCTTCGATTCTTTTAAATGGTCCGTTTACTTCACTAAAACATATAGAAAATAAAAATTTTACGTTTTTCTTTTATCTTTATTTATATATACACTACAACAAATTTATCTTTTAGGGGTGATTAATAATAACAGACAAAAAAAATGGAGAAAAATTTAATTTTTCTCAATTAAAAGGAACTTAACTAGAAAAATCAAGTCAACAACTCTCAAATAAATTTATGACAAACCTAAAGGAACTTTGCTTCCTCCTTCCCTAGTCTCAAAGAAATCGGCCAAAGTTTAAATAATTGGGAGTAGGCTTATTCGAATCCAAAAATAAGTACTTTTAGATTCATTGAATGGTTCCTCATAACCCGTCAAAAATAAACACCCAAAAGTCGTTGTTTTCTTCTTCTTCGAAATTTTAAAATAATTTTTTTTAATAAAAAATAAATGTTTAAACCAGGTGAACTAGACCCAGATTCACGTTTGAGATTGAATCATAATTCCAAAAATATCCCCAATATAAAACAAAATAGAATAGAGTAAGAGCAAAAGGTGTATTAAATTGATGATTAATGTTTGAGAGCGATAAGACATGGAGGCCTGAGAAGAGATAGTGACCGTTGGATGGAGAATGTGATGTATGTATTTATATAATAAGGTTAAAATAAAGTGTTGTAAATGTTACAAAATATGACAGTCGTGGTGGCTGTGGGGTCCTGTCTTTTAGATCCCAACATCAAATTATTTATTTATTTATTTATATTTATTTTAATAATAATAATAATGATTTCTTTTTTATTT